GGATTGATTAGAAATACATATAGTTCGGCAATCATTACAATACCAGCATATCTATATGAACCAATAAATGCATCATTTATAAGAAAAATTGAACATATTTGTGATGCAGTTGTAGAAATTGAATCATTTGCAGGTAGGTAACATTATATTGTATATAACTCATACTGTAAATGTTGTAAAAAGATCCATTGTTGCTGGATTGAATGAAAACTCTATATTATGAAGGCGCTCAATATTTTTCATTTTAAGAAGTTTGAGCATTCTCTCTTTTAAAGTTTCTTTCGATTCCTGGTGTTGTAAAGCTCAAAGGGCTTTACTTTCATGAATTAGAAGCTTTTGAAAATTAGTAAGTATAAGAGAAATCCTATGTTATACAAGAAGTTGTCATTTCCAATACTTACTATGTCTTCTTCCACGGATTTCAGACGTCAGAAATCATCTTTACAAGTCCGTCCTTTTGTCATCTTTTGTGGGGTATAACTGAGGTGGGACATATAGAATATGGAAATATTACTATTACACTAATATTATGTAAGCGTACAATTTTCCGAAGTATCAGGCATTAATATTTATATTTATAATAAAATCAATCAAAAAATTTATTTCTGATTTTTTTTAAAATAAAATGGAACTATATTTGGAATACATCATGACACAACTAGTCTAAGAGAAAAAAAAATGATATGATTCAAAAATCTAAAAGTAAAGGAGTTATTCTTAATGTTAGTAGTAGCAATAGTGTTAATAATACTGTTAGCATTATTATTAGCAATGAAAAGAGTGAAACTGAATAATCATTAGTTGATAAATCTTTGGATAACCTCATTAATAATAACAATGCACTAATGGCAACGATTGCGACTGCAACAACACTTCAATCACTTTTACGATTTGCTAGATCACCAACTCTTTCTCCAACATCAGGCCTGGTACACCTTTTGAAGAAATAACTTTGGATAAATTGATGCCAGGAAGTTATTCAACTGTTACTACTGCTGCTACTACTACTAATAATAATATTACAACTTCTTATCATTCTCATCGTATCAATATGATCCTAAATTATTTGGAAATACAAAAAAAGCTTTACCTTTACAAGAGGAACCAATAATGATGTCAATACTACTTTTATAATAACAATAATAATAATATACAAAATTTACAACCATCCTCCTTCTCCTTGGAATTCAAGTCTTGACAATTTGAATACATTTGCAAATGAATCAGATAATAAATTTTCAAAAAAATCTTAATATTAATGTTTTCTTTTAAAAATTAATTATTTTTAATTCCAAAGATTTAACTTTACAACGTATATAAAATTAATCAAATCAATCGATTTAATTAATTTAATAAAATATTTTTTTACCAGTCCTCACCAAAATTTTTCTGCTCATTCTCCTTGGTAAACTTCATAACGATTTTCTCTTTCTTCCAAATGCTTGAGCATCAATACATAAAATGCTTGCC